AACATAAAAAACTCATGAGAAAAGCAGGACACGTATTGCACTTAGCATTTTAAGTTTAGACCCTATCTTCTATTGCAGTATCTTCTATGTTTTGTTTAAGAAATTAAGCTAAGAAACCCCAGTTCTGTAATTTATCAGCTAGTCACAAGATGGCATCCTAATTCCACTCAAATTCAATTGATTGTGTCAATTGTATTTAAACTACGGGCAGTGCTGCCGATGACTGGCACTTTGTGCAGGTTTGTTTTTCCCCTCGTTCTGTCATGGTAGTTGACCAGACTTTCCTAGTTTGCAGCAGCACTGACACGCTGAAGCGGACAGCAAATGCTGTTACCTCTCCTGCTGTCACAACCCTGTATTTTTCCAAATGTGAGGACATGCTGCAGTTCAATCTGTAGTCCCAGCTGGATCCTCAAGATTACATGCCTCTTCCAGTAGTGTGTACGTGGTCTCTCTCGCCTGTCTTTCACCACTCTCACAGTTGCCTGTATCGTTGGAACGTGCAATTTCTGCACATTACCTTTCTTCTTGTTTGCAAGCTAACCACTACTTTTACAATCACTTTGGTCAAACTGAATCTAAATGTTGGATCCTCCTTTCCTATCTTCAAATGGTCTGCTATTTGCGCTTTCCCTTACTTCACAGCAACTTTTGATTTATCTCCTCTTATCCCTTTTTTCTATTGAAATTTCCCTTCAGTGGCTGTGTTGCTGTCTCACGGCTATTCTTCTCGCAGCAATCTCAGGGTGGGTAGAACAGCTTTTAAAACCAGAGGTGTTGGCATTGGCAGCTGGAGCCTGTTTCTGTAAGTATTCCACATGCAAAACTCCTAATCAATGGGAAATTTTGGGAAAGAAATCTAGTAGGAATGGCTTTTTGTAACACAACTGTCAAAACAGCAATGCCTCATGAATTTTATTGAGTGTGAGTGATCTTAGTGGAGCTGAAAGCACTGTTTCCTACACTGAATTCTGAAAGAATAAGCAAGCCCTTGTGGTCTGTATGAAATTTTATCTAATAGTGATAAGACGTGCACTGAATGACGCACTGAAAGGCCAGGGCCTCAGGTAGTTACTCGCTTTGGCATCACATTTGTTACCTGGAACTGTCTGACGTGTGACCTTCCTTCCTTTAGTGATTATAGTTTATTTATGCTATAGGTTTTCCAGACGCTTTTTCTGAATTTCCAGCAAATATGGAAGTGTTCAATAACTTACGTCAAGCACAATCTTTCTGTCCCTGTTCAAAATTTATTTCTGCAACTGAATTATTTTTCACAGTATTTTTCTTCAAGACTCCTCCCATGGATTGCAAAAGCAATCTTCAGTCAAGAATGTCTTATTTATACCAAATAAATAGTTATGCTATTAGCTTAAGTACAGACCAATCAGAAATCTATAGCTAAATGAGAACATGTTGATTCCTCCATTCATTTTCCCCAAAAATGCTATATAAGCGAAAAATTGTGTGGCGCTTAGTTTTCAGAAGTGCTGAGCATGCAAAACTCTCCACTCGGCTGCTGTATAAACATGATCTGAAGGGCCTCTCAGCTTAAATAATGCCATGCTTTTTTAATTTTATATGCAGCTTTAGTCTGCACCCACGCTTGTGGGGATCCCAGCTGAAATAGCACTGAGGCAAGAGGCAGAAGGAAAAGGAGAATTGCTCAAGGCATTCACATTTTTGTAGCAGCATGAAAAGTTTCAGGAGAGAGCACTATGACTGTAACTGCTTACACCTGAAATAATTCTCACTTTATCCTTTTCTGATTTAGTTCTCTGTGCATATAGTGGAGGTAACTATCTATCTTCCCATGATTAATAAATATCAGAAACATTCATTAGTGAAGTCATCCAATACTTTGTTTATTAAAAACCATAAAGCATTATTATGGATTGGTAGCATCTTAATCTGGAGGTCCAGAATCTGGCAGTATTTTTGTGTCTTCCTGGTTTGATGGTGTTTTCAGGAAAAACACTGTACAAAACAGACACTGTTTTTCACAGGTTGACACCATACCATTCCTGACTAGTAAAGTACAAGAAATGAAAGAAAAATCACTAATAAAATCAGGCATTCATACCTGAAATTCTTAATTTTAATGTCGTTTTAGAAAGTATTTGTATTTCAAATCCTTGTATTTCTGTGCTTTCCCGGATAGGTTTACGTTTCTTTCTATGTTTACCTTTATTAGTACATTCCATCTGGTGTTGAGAAAAAAAATGCTACAATGGCTTTTCCTTTGGAAAACCATTAAATACCTACTTTTAATATCGTCAAGAATGTTTCATAAAAAATCCCAATGCATCCAAAATATCAAAAATACCGAGTATAGGAAACACCCTGATTAGTTAACTAGCTGGCAGCAGAAATTGTGCTGCGGAAAAAGGTGAAATGAAATGAAAGAAAATGTACCAGAATTGTCTTGGAGTATCTCCTCTGACTTGAAATATAGAGCACAGCCTCCCGGTGAGTCGCCGCCTGACTAAGGACTGTCATATCGCCACTGCCAACAATTTATCTACTTTTTGTAGCGCACAGTGAAACCTGCCTGAGGTTCACGGTGCAACAGCCACCCTTTCCCGTTTGCAGAAACTGTAGGCATTTGATTTCGGAATAAAGCCTGTATTAAGACCACGAGCCGATCTTCTTCTGTGCTGTCAGAGGTTTGACAGATTTATTATGAATCCCCGAGGGGTTCGGGAGCGCTGCGAGCCCTCCCGCCCGCACCTTCGTCGCTGATGTCGTCCACGAAGTCCTCGGGGTCACTGAAGGAAATCTCGTCCTCGGGCTCGACCGGGGCGGCGGGCGC